GAAAGCAAAAAGGTCCGTCTGTGCCAGGTCTAATATACCCAATAGCCACAAAGAAAGTGACTGGACACTGGACAGAACTGCACAGTAAGGCTACAAGAATACCACTTACTATAGACATATAGCACATTTGCTGAAGCAGTAAAAGCCTTTTTTTTTTACTGGTAACAGGGGAAAAAACCTTAAAATACCATTTTTCAGAAGAAGGCACCAGTGTCAGTGTTGCACTTAGGCAGCCAGAAGAGATCTGATCTCCCCTGTGTGTCCCCAGCACTAATTCGCAGTCCCAGGCATGGAATTAGCAGTACAGAATTAGGCAGGTTTGGAATAGATACGTGCAGACATGTTTCTATAGCTTTTTGGGTCCCACCCTTCTCACCTTACTTTCAAAATACCTTATTCATGCTGCTGTCATCCAGCTCAGCTCAAGGCGGTGGTGACGGCTGCCTTCTACCATTTGCCATGCAGTTAGAGCGGTTATCCAGGCCGTTCTGAGCTGGGGGCCATTTCAACCATAGGTGCCAACTTTTATTTTTCCTGGGGGGAGGGCACAAGATGATGGACGCATGGAAAGTTTTATGCACTTCAGGTGACAGCCATCTTCCCAAGGCGGGGCAAGGCCCCTGGGTTTCCATGTATCCAGTACCTCTGATTTCAACCAGTGCCAGGGAAGTGTCCTCTTTGGGTCTTCAATAGGCATTTGCAAGCTGGAAGCCTTCCATATTTAAATAATGACACGAAGCAGGAAGGCTGAGCATGCAACCAGGGTAAAGACACATGGGGCACATCTACACGTTCACTAATGTGCCTTAGATACTGCACATTTAGTTTAGTACTTTCTTAATGAAGCACTAAATGTGCAGTACCTAAAGTTACTGTGCATTAGCACTGGCACATGGTTATTCAGTGATGTTTACTGAGCATTAGCCTAATAACACTGCACAGGAGGCTATTAGCATGGTTTTTGCCATGACGCACTACTGCACAGTATTATTAGGCCAATGCTCAGTACGCATCTTGTGTAGACGTACTCATGGAGAAGTCCTTCAGATCTTCCCACAAAATCCTCCTCGATGTCTGAGCAGAAGGAAAACCTATACTGCACACAGGTATTCAAGATGGTGGGGTGTGCTGGTTTTAGATCGTCTTTGATTTTCTCCACTTTCTACCTTTAGATGAAGAATTGATCCTGTTTTTCTAACTGAATCAGTGATGCATGAGCTAGAGTCTGTTCAAGCAAATGGTTGTTTATGAAAGCTTCTGCATCTCTGATTCAGTTAGTACATAAGTTGCAACTCCACCTGACTTCAAAGCATCCTGGCTAATTATCTCTCCCTGTTTTTCTACAAATATTTCAGCAAAATACTCCTGGAGACCAAATGGAAGACGAAGAAGCCTTCTGTGGTAAGGAGCAAATCTGGTATTATGTACCCTTACTTCTGCCACAGTTCTCATTCCAGGTTTCCTGTGACGTAGGGGAAGGTCCACGTGCTCCTTCTTCTCTAAACAGTCGAGACTCCAGACACTGGGATGGAGGGAGGAGGAAGCGACAACGTGGCAGGGAGGGTGGGAGAAACGTGCTGGATCCAGCAGTGAAGGAAAATGCTGAGTTCACTCTGTTCCTGACACACACCGCAGACACTGCAAGAGGCCGGGGCTGTGCAGATGCTGGTTCCTGCGGTGGGTGGAGGACGGAGCGGCTCTGTCTCACCAGGGAGGCTGTCATACCTGCTTGGGCCATCTTCCGAGAACTGGGATCATGGATGCCCTCTGCTACCCCTGTCTGCAGGCTCTGTTGCTTGTGCCTCGTCCCTGCCGGTCCTCTCCCGCAGACGCAGCCTTCGAAGGGGCATTGGGCTGAGATGCCCCAGATAGGCCTGTTCTCTGTGGTCCCAGTTGGGCCCAGACTGGGACTTGCTGAGCTCAGAGGAACCAGGAGAGAGTTTGCGTGTCTGCAGGGACCCAGGCATTCACTCAGGAGCCCAGGGAGACACGTGAAATTGGGAGGCTCTTGGGGAAAGTCAAGAACAGTCAGGCTGGACTCAGCCCTGCAACCGCCCCAGGAATAGCATCGTACCTAGGGGAGCCCAGCTCGAATGACCCAGGCAGGGACCATGAGCCTGTTACTCCGGTCTGGCCCAGTGAAGGCAAACTGAGCCACCTCTTAAATAGTAAGGGACTTTCTGCCTGAATGACAGCAGAAGCTGTGGCTCTGCTGTAACAGTGCCAGTAAGAAATGGGGAGGGGCGATAGTTTAGTGAACCCCAAAGCCAGGATGAGGCTGGACTGTGGCCTGGGCATCCCTTTCCCATGGGACAGCCATCCCTTACCCTCGGTTTCACCCCGTTATCCCCAAAGTGATGCTGCAAATCCTGTCCTATGCAGGCTGGCGCAGCTGTGAGCAGCCCGAGCTGAGGTTCATCCTTGTTGGCAAAACCGGAGCAGGGAAAAGTGCCACAGGCAACACCCTCCTGGGCCGGATTGTGTTCGAGTCCAAGCTGGGGGCACAGACCGTGACCAGGACGTGCAGGAATGGCGAAGCAGCCTGGAATGGGAAGCGTCTCCTTGTCACTGACACCGCGGCCATTTTCGATCTAGACGGCCACAGCACAGAGGCCTCCAGAGAGATCGCTCGCTGCCTCCTGCTCTCCGCCCCGGGCCCCCACGCCCTGGTGCTGGTGACCCAGCTGGGCCGCTACACAGAGGAGGACCAGGCGGCTGCAAGGCGAGTGCAAGAGATTTTTGGAGGCCAGGCCATGAAGTTCATGATTGTCCTCTTCACCCGGAAGGAGGACTTAGGGGGCAGCTCCCTGACAGAGTATGTGCGCTACTCGGAGAACAGGGACCTGCGCAGCCTGATCCAACAGTGCGGAGACCGATACTGCGCTTTCAACAACAAAGCAGCGGGAGCAGAGCAGGCCGCGCAGGTGAGGGAGCTGGTCGAGATGGTGGAGAGGATGGTGCAGGAGAATGGAAACACTCATTACACCAGTGAGCTGTATGCCAGGGCAGAGCTGCTCCTCCATTCTGAAATGGGAGGCCTGGAGGAGAAGTGCCAAATCCTTGGGGAAGAGGTGAAAGAGCACCTGGGAAAACAAAGGGATAGGGCAGCATTTCTGCCTTATGGGGTGTG